TAGTTACGAAAAATGTATCCATAGAATAACCATTTGTTTTTATTTTACAGGCATTGGAGCTAGTGAGGAAATCTGTCCCACCTGTGGTACAGACGCTGCTGGGCGACGAGAAGAGCTCTACCAGACGTGGCTCGCGATCCAGTCTGGCGAATAGCGAACATGAACAAAGTCACGAAGAGGTGAGTCTGCCTTTCTCCCGTTTGTCATTTTGACGTATAAATTAGCCGTATGCACTTCCGCATGCTATGCAGTAGCTGACACAGACACTTATTAGCCGTCTACTATCCTTTTCTTCTTTCTTTTTGTTCTTTTTTTCGTTTCGTCCCGTCGTCCGTCACGTCCGGCACAACCTGATCTGACCGAATTGTGGCCGAATCTCATCGGCGACCGCACACGCACGCATACGAACGCAATCGAACGCAGGCGAACAGTCCGCTATCACTGGTGCAAAAGGCGCTACATGAAGGACAGTCAGCGGTGAGCAGTGGCCAGCACCAACATGACGCTAGTCCAAACAAACCCGGGTTTAAAAACAAGATCTTCCAAGCTTTTGGCATTCACTCGTCATCTACATAGACCGAGTGGATTCCATTTTCCGTTTTCTCGTTAGCTTCTATTCCGCCTTTAATTCGTCAAGTCCGTTCTCTTCAGCTGCGTATCCCTGTATTTTTTTTTTCTAACAGTTTTTATCTATCCTCTTTTACTTTCTAATACTTTCTTATAACACTTATCTCGTCTTATTGTTGAATGCAGAAAAAAAATATATTTTAAATATGTATATACACACACCACATATCTATGTATATGTATATATATATATATATATAATATATATATATATATAAAACGTACTGCAGCTAAAGAGAACAGATCTATTTTACCGTGTTCTCATTCGTCGACGATTTTTTAAGGATGATATCACTGATAAATAGATGTACTTCTGGGGGATGAGCGAGGACTTTAAAATATACTCTCTTTATTCTTTCATATTTAATACACTTATAAGCAA